TTTCTGGTTTCTCGTCTGTTGAAGTTGCTGCTGCGGCAGCAGCAACCTTAGCCTTTGCTACGATTGGACTGATTGGTGATGCCTTATGTGTCATCAAGCAACACAACAGTGGCTTATCTCCACGTTTAAGACTATTTTTGGAGGTAGCTACATTTTTGCTTGCCTCTTTCTTTAATCATTTGTGGTTCATCCTTGTTGCCATATAAGTTTATTTTTATCCCAGTGTTCCACTAATGTCCAACTGTTTATCATTGTAGGCTGCTGCAGGGATTTGGTTTTCATTTTGGTTGAATGCTACAACTTTGTCATCACCCTATGGCATGTATATCTTCTTGTAACTAATCTTACAACATTTATTTATCTTATGGTAACTTGCATTCCTTTTCTTGTGCCAGAGGATTTGAAAAAAAAAATCTAGTTTAGTTAATTTGCTATTTGAAAAAAATAGGCTCCCCTGATTTTATTGAAGTTCTCTGATGGAAAACCATGTTATACATTCCATTCTTTATATAAGATATTATAACCTTTTTTTTTCTTTCTTTCTTAATATAAACAAGAAGACTATTTTTAAAAATACAGACCCTTCTAGTGAAGGAGAAATATCAATATAACAGCTGTTAGGCAGAACTTTAGCACTTAGGTGGATGAATCTCAATATGTGTGTTTCAGCTCTCACTCTCTCCGTCAGATTATCCTTTTTCTTGTCGGTCAAGGAGTCTTTTATTAATGATGGCTCAAGTGTGCTGTTTACTTTCCTCAGACCATTTTATTACTTCTTAATGCAGGAAAATGTTGGTTCCTCTACCTGCTCCACTGGGCATTGTGTGCTTTGGAAAATTTTACCTATTGTTGACTCCATTTTGTTTTGTTTCCATGGGAAATGGGGTTAATTTAACTGATGGTCTGGCTGGTGGGACTGCTGCATTAGCCTTTATTGGAATGTCAATTGCAGTGCTTCCAATATGCCCTGGTTAGTATGAATTTGGTTTGAACAATTAATATTATTAGTTGGAAGAAAGGAGCGAAATTTTCCCTGTTCTCAGGATAGAGCTGCATACCATTTTTGTGACCACACATACTCTAAAGTTCATCTATGGTTCACTGCAACAATAACATCTCTTAAGTAACACAATTGCACTTTCAAGCTGCTTCATCTGAATGATATATGCAAAACATATTTTAAGCTTACTCTTGGAGTTTTGTTGATGTTTTTTTGGCCTCTTCCTTTATCTTCCATCTTAATATTAGAATGCTACTGTCGCGATGGCCAATTCTTCCAACTTAGTGAAACACTAAGGCTCTGCTAGGTATGAAGGATAGAAAAACTTATGGATGGAAAATTTGTTAATCTTATGATTAAGCTTCTATCAACTATTTTATTATCAAATTTTCCTTCCTTCATACCAAGGAGAGCCTAAAATTTGGATTTGAATTTTGATCTTTTTTTAATGCTTTTTCAAGTATTTACCTTCTTGTCATTTGATAAATCCTTATTCAACACATGCTATGTTTGATATGAGTATTATTTTTTCCTTATGTTTTAGTACATGAGTTAGCAATAAACCAACTTCATTGGGTAATTTGTAGCCGCTCACATGACTTAATTTGAAAAAGAGAATGAATATATTTTGCTTATTTTGAAGAGGCATTATTTTTTACTTGAGTTTTTACTCATCTTTCTAATTTCAAGTTCAGATTTGTACTAATTTTTCTTTATGCCATGCAATAATTAAGTCTTTTCCTTATGTAACAGACATAACATAAATGTTATTTTCAATCCCAATCAGAACTTGCTATATTTGGAGCATCAATGGCCGGTGCCTGTGTTGGTTTTCTTTTGCACAACCAGCACAAAGCATCTGTATTTATGGGCGATATAGGATCCTTGGCCCTTGGTGGCGCATTAGCTGCAATGGCTGCATGTACAGGAATGTTCTTTCCCTTAATCATTTCATCTGGTATCTTTGTATTGGAAGCATCATCAGTCATTCTGCAGGTATAGTCTGTCAGATTATTATCTGATTCTGTCCAATTTCGTTGAAAATCTTTCAAATTCGATTAAACTTTGCGTCTTCATATGTTAGTTGCTTCTAATAGTTCATTCTTGACTGAATATTAATACCGACTGAATGCTGCTTGTTTGTTTGTTAGGTGTTATACTTAAAAATAACAAAGCACATGCATGGGAGTGGGCGGCGCTTGTTTAGATTGGCACCTTTCCATCACCATCTAGAATTGAACAGGCACAAAGAACAAGTGATTGTTGCTGGTGCATATGCCGTATCCTGTGTGTTGGCTTTATTTGCATGTTACATGGGCCTTATATCGGTATAATGTCTGTCATCATTTGCATCCATCTCCATTTTGTTTCACTTAGTTATAGTCATAATAGGTCTCCTCTTTTCCCGAGTATTTCTTAATCTTTCATTCGCTCCTTTTTTGTGTTGACACCGTTATGCTATGTTACTCGAACTTAGATATGAATGTCAGATATGGGTGTATCTGGCACGAGTATGGTCATTCCTTTCAAAGATTTTATCTTGTAGTAGAAAGGCCATATCTCCATATTCACGTCCGAATTTGTGTTAGAAAGAATTGTCGGACACAGATTTTCAAAAACGAATAATAAAGAGAGCAACATAGCCATAGTGGTTTAGGAGGAATAGATGCATGCGTCAACGCAAGTTCTTTGGTTCCATGTAGTTGAATCCATTATTTAATTATTTCATAAATCAAAGATTTCAACAACTATAGGTGTCTTGGCCCTTTTTCCCTCTCATTTTGACTTCATACTTAAATCTGTATTTTGTTCACACTAACCATCTAATCGGGGAACTTTGGTATTGAGATTAAAAACAATTATATTAAATGTAGACTGGTGTTTTATAACCATATACGAATCATGTGGGATTTGATTAAGGTAAAATAAAAACCACTTTAGCGATATCTTTTACACGGTGTCTGGTAGGTAAGGGGAAACAATGACAGGAATGAATTAATTTTCTTTTCCTTTCGCCCCAAATTCAATCATTTCATGGACGAAAGAAAACTTGTCATTTCAGTTTATTGCTTTTATCTCATTCCTGCTATTTATGCTATGTGAATTCAAGTGTAACCGTTCCTGCTTGCTGGTATGTTTAACCTAGAAGTTTTATCTGCTATGACTGATTGAAGATGAAAATTTTATTAAACCTAAGCTTTGAAGTAGAAAATAATTATTAACGTTAACCATTTTTTTATTCTTACATTTTCTAAAATAGTAATGTTTATAAAACTAATTATATGTTAGTGTAGGTGGATGAATCATTTAAAATACGTGCGTAAAGTGCGAAGTTAGTGAAGCTTTTCACGTGTTGATTAGAATCATCTGGTTGTCTTGTCTGTGTGTTTTGTTTTCACGTTGGTGGTTGTTCCGAGTGTTTGGAGTTTCGAAGTTAATCCTCACTTCTTATTTCAGAGCAGAGATTTGGTCTGGATTTCTCTTTCATATTTATTCACGTCAATTTCTGATTTTAAATTGCATTACATACTCAATTTCAATCTCAACTCATAATTCATTATTATACTTAAAATATACAATTCTTAAACAATATATATTTGTTCGTGTGAAAATTGGCCATCAATAGCAGTAATTATCCTAATAAGTAGGGTGAAGCTGCCTGCCTGCTTTAAATTCACCCATGCTTTGTTTTCTCGGATCCTTTTCATCTGCCAAATCGACATCACTAAAACCCGGTCCTCCTTCCACGTGAACTTACTAACCCCTCTATAAAACCTGCATGTCAATTGTAGAAAATACATCTCTATTAGCCATACCTTCCCACGGTTAGGGCTTGGGAGAATTTGGGGGTTTAAGTAAACAACATAACCATCTGCACTCTCAGCTGGGTCTGGTTTGATGTGCAATGCATGTGACTCCCACCTGTCATTAATTCTGCATCTAATCCTGTTTCAATGACGCTAGTAATAACTAAATAAGACACTGATACAACCAAACTTTAATGGTCTTTGGTTTATACAATTAAATATGATTATGCCTCGATGTTCTATCCGGTATAAGCCAAATTGTTCAGGCTCTATTGAATATTTAAAAAAATCATTTTACAACAACTTAAACTCGACTGATGCAATATTTTTCAAATAAGTAGGTCCGTTTCTTATTTATTGAAAAGTATTAAAATTAATTTCCGACAAATTAAAATAAAAACACTGGCCTATTAATCATTTCAAATTGATTGGTTGGATTTAATTAATTAATCCATAATTAATTTTCCATGACGCATGCGTTAACTCAACCAACTTGAACCACGGTCACCCTCTAACCAGTGTTGAGCAAAATATGGCTGAAGAGTCTTTTAAAAGAGAAGCTTCGAAAAGCTCAATTACTTTTTCTTGTTCCGAAAAACCAAGCACTTTTACCAAATATATAATATTCGAAAATATTGTTACAATGTAATAAAAAAGAGTAAACTATACGTTTAGTGATCAAACTATCACTTTTATTTCGATTTAGTAACTCAACTATTTTTTATTTCAAAATCATACATAAGTTATGTTTTAGTTTATTTTTGGTCATCTATTTTTTAACTGTGATGCTGACGTATTACTATAAGGTAATATCATGTCATTATTAATTTTAAAAAAATCATAATCGTAATTATGTTAATTTTTTAGACCAAAATAAAATTAAAACTTAGCATTAAGTATATTTTAAAAAAATAATAGTATGGTGATTAAAACAGAAAAAAGTTGATAGATGGGTACTAAACGTAAAGTTTAATGTAATAAAAATGAATGCTGAATCGCCGGCTTTACCTTGAGTATTATCTGAATTCAGAATAAGCTGACAATGCCACGTCAACACCGGCTTTTGCTTTTAGCAGACATTTGACATTTCCGCCGTCCTATTTATGCCTCCCCTCTGCGTTGCTTCCAATCCATCCCGGAATTCCTATTTATACCACAGTTACATGAATTTGATTCGCTCTTCTTTCCGTAATAATCCCTTGTTCCAAGCTCCAGAAAAATGATTTCATTTTTATCCTTTGTTTCGCCTTTCACTCCATTTTTGGGCACCCTTTTTGTTCTTATCCTTGTGTTAGAACAGAACTCCTACTTGCGCAGGAAGCGAAATGTCCCTGGTCCAAACATGGTACTTCCTTTCTTGGGCAACGCAATTCCACTAGTAAGGGAACCCACAAGATTCTGGGAAATTCAAGCTCACTTGGCTTCTTCTCTCGGATTCTCTGTTAATTATATCATCGGCCGCTTCATCGTCTTTATCCGTGACACTGAAATCTCTCACCTTGTCTTCTCCAACGTCCGACCCGATGCTTTTTTACTCGTGGGACATCCCTTTGGGAAAAAGCTTTTCGGCGACCATAACTTGATTTATATGTTCGGACAAGATCACAAAGATCTACGCCGTCAGATCGCCCCAAACTTCACCCCCAGAGCTCTGTCAACCTACACCGCATTGCAGCAGATTATTATTCTCCAACATTTAAAATCGTGGGAGCGTCTTTCGGAGGAATCACCGGGAAAGCCGATTTCTCTCCGTCTTTTAGCTCGCGACATGAATCTGGAAACTTCTCAAACTGTTTTCGTTGGCAGGTATTTGTCAAATGAAGCTCGTGTCAAGTTCAGAGACGATTATAATCTTTTCAATACGGGTTTGATGAAGCTCCCGTTTGATCTCCCCGGATTCGCGTTCCGTAACGCCAGGCTTGCCGTTGAGCGGTTGGTCGAAACGCTTACCGATTGCGCTGCTCAAAGTAAAAAGAGAATGTTCCAAGGAGACGAGCCTTCTTGTTTAATCGATTTTTGGATGCAAGAAACTGTCAGAGAAGTCACGGAATCCAAAACGGCGCAGCCTTCCGACTATGAAATTGGCAGTTATCTCTTTGATTTTCTCTTCGCCGCTCAAGACGCCTCCACTTCGTCGCTCCTCTGGGCGGTTTCCCTCCTCGACTCTCATCCCGATGTTCTCCGCAGAGTTCGCGAGGAAGTTTCGAGTATATGGTCGCCGGAATCGGATGTTTTGATAACAGCGGAACAATTGAGGGATATGAAGTATACGCAATCTGTTGCACGTGAAGTCATAAGATATCGGCCGCCGGCGACTCTAGTGCCGCACATTGCGATGAAGGATTTCCCGTTGACTGAGTCGTACACGGTTCCCAAGGGCACGATTGTGTTCCCCTCGGTTTTCGAATCATCCTTCCAAGGGTTCCCGGAGGCGGACCGGTTCGATCCTGATCGGTTCTCAGAGGCTAGACAAGAAGAGGTGATCTACAAACGTAACTACCTGGCGTTTGGAGCTGGGCCCCACCAATGCGTGGGCCAAAGGTACGCCTTGAATCATCTGGTGCTTTTCATTGCCATGTTCGTCACTGTTCTCGATTTCAAGAGGCACCGGACCGACGGCTGCGATGAAATCATGTACTGCCCGACCATCTGTCCCAAAGACGGGTGCAGCGTTTCCCTAGTTCGGCGGTGCCCACGTTATCCGAATCTCTCCCTTAATTGACCAAAACACCCTTCCATTTGTGTCCGTCTTTTCCGGTAAACTTGGTGCTGTCCGGTGGTTTGTCGCTTGCTGTGCACTTATCACGTCCTTCAAGGCTGGAACAGTAAAAAAAACGTTTCACTGTGGTCATTATTATTTTGTGTGGGGTGTATATACAATTGATGGACGGTTCCGATAATCTCTGCTTCTTCTTTGATGAATTGATTGGAAACTTTGACTGGTGGTGGGGATTGATTATCTGGGTTGGTGTTTTGGACTTCAAATAAAAAAAATGGTACTTCCAATTTCATTGTATTTTATCTCGGGTTGGTTAAGGGTGATAAGGAAATCAAATAAATTAAAGCCAATTGCAGTGTATAAACATCTATTGATCTATAAACTTGAAAAAATAACTATCAAATTTAGTTCGAACTAATTTTTTATTTAACTTATAATTAATTTTAGTACTTATTAAAAACTTAATGTTAATTTTTTTATAAAAAATTGAAAGTTTAAGTAATAAAACAGACTAAAACTGATAGTCTATGTACTAAACAAATAAATTTTAATGACGATATACTAAAATAAAACAAAAACTAAATGTTAAGTAAAATATTAAAAGTTATATATTAAAACTGATCATTTAGATACCAAATATATAGTTGAACTTAATAAATAAAGTGGAAAACAGTGGGCATATGTAACCCCTAATTTTGGCATCAATAGCATTAAAGAGAGGACTTGCCTCATTGATGATGTTGTGTGGCATTTAATTTCAATATTTTAGTTTCCCATAATTATTTGCTCAACTAACCAGTTTAAATGTTAAAGGCTTACTGCATTATTGCCCATTAAAGGATATTATTTCTTTAAGTTGTACCTTAAAATATATTTTGGGACATTTTGCTCCCTAAAGTTTAAATGATTATCTCGATTAATCCAAACTGTTAATTCCTTAAAGTTTAAATCGTTATTTTGTTTACTCCAAAATGTTAATTCCGTTAAAAAATAACATGGATAAATTACATATTTAGTCACTCAACTATTTTCACGATTCTATTTTTGTCACCCCATTATTTTTTTCTTTCAAAATAATCAATAAACTTAAGTTTTTGTTCTATTTTAGTCACCTAAGTCGATTCAATTTATTTTTTAATTATTTTTTAAACTTATAGTATATAATAATTCATTTACATCATATTTTTTTACTCTACATATAAATTAAATTTATAATAATAAATCTATTAAGTTGTTTGTAATTAAAACTTTAATAAAATAAATATTAAATGTTAAATTAAAATATCATAAATATTTTAAGAAATAAAAAATTATGAAGGGTCATTATTCGCTGGTAAATGTATGTGTTTAATGAATTTCATATTTCGAATCGGACTATTTTTAAATAAATATAAAATATATTTATATCACATATAAAACCAACTTAACCTATCCAAATTGCACATGACGAGTTTTCAATTACATTATGGAATCATATCAAGATTCTCATTATGCTCTAAGTCATGTTGTTGCAGCTTGCCTTTCAGATTGCAGTTTGAAAAATAAGTTATTTTCCCTTGCCTTCAATCATCCAATAAGTGAAGCTGGGCTAAAAAATTCTTAGACCTTTACTGTGCATTAGGAACCCCCCTCCCTTATCATTAAATGGCCAGGTGTTGATAGGAAATTGTATAACTCATACTGTGAGCTGCGTGGTAACATATGTACTTCGAGTAGGGAAGGCACGTTAAGAACCCTTTATTATTAAATGGTCAAGGTGTTAATAAGAAATTGAGTACCGAGTAGGGGTACCCTATTAAATATTATTTTATGATTCAAATTTGATCCGAAAATCCGCAAAAAATAACGGATTGAGTATTTGGTTCAAAAATCTGAATAATTTCACTATAAATATTCGATAATTTTAAATCAGATTGACAGATCAATAAATCAAATCATCGGAGTCTAATATTTTAAACACCCTATGAAAGTTAATATTGTATTCAAATTAAATTAAAGATATAAATACGTAAAATTATCTCTATCTTTATTATATTACCTATATATTTTTCTTTTTTCTTTCCACATTTCAGAAAACGACTCATTTTTCAAAATATGCATCATTTACGTTATAATATTTTTTATACCTACTTAAAATTATTCCGATTGAAGGCGTCAATATATTTCGATATAAATATATTTTATACTTATTTAAAATTAGTCCGATTAGAAATACGAGGATTAAATTTATTAAGATGCATTTACAAATGAATAATGAACCGTTCATATTTTTATCTCTTAAAATATTTATGATATTTTAATTTAACAATAAACATTTATTTTATTAAGATTTTAAGTACAGACAACTTAATATGTTGTTTACTATTTAAGTTATAATATTATTTATCATTATAAATTAAATTTATATGTGGAGTAAAATATATTTGATAAATTATTTATCATTATTCAATTGAAGCTTTCTGCATAACTAACATTACAACTCTTCCAGCGACCTGACTTCTTCTCAATGCACAACCCTTAAATATTAGAGTAGTAAAATTTCAATTTTAAAATTCAAACTTCCGCTGATTCCTGCTAATTCAACCCTCAAAACACCACAAGCAAACACTTCACACTAAGTCAGATTAATCCTCAAACCGGACATACTATAAAAATGATCCAAAACACTTTGGACACCAAAACAGAGTCCATGGAGCCCGCCCTTGGTGAAGAGGAGGTCATCCGCAAAAACACAAATGAGTCATCGTAATCTTCCTACACTTTAGATGAAACTGAACTATCTCATTAATCGCTGCATTCACCTCTCGCTCTCTTCAAAAACCCCACCAAACCTCCATTAAATGTGATGGAGAATCGAGGTGAAGTTATGCAAACTCGGATCCAACCTCTTAATTTTTCAGGAGGCTCCATGGCTTTCAATACCTTAAAGTGTGTTTGGTTGGGGAATGTGAGATTCACATGGAAATGGAATCCACATTTCCCCGTTTGGTTGGCCGGGAATGTCATTCCCGGTAATCTTACACTACCAATAGTGGATTTTTTGGGATATATTACCGGGAATGTCATTACCTCCCTTTCCTTAGGTATTGTTGGATTACCGACGTTTTGGACTAAAATGCCTTTAAATTTTTTTTCTTTCAAAAATATCTTCAATCTGTCATTGAATAATAAAAATTCTACGAAGGTTAAATTACAAATTTATCCTTAAACTATTTTAAATTTACAAAAAAAATCTATAATTAAAATTTTATATGAAGTTCAGAGGTTAAAATACAATTTTACCCTTTCATTAAACCTTTTTATATTTTAATTTTGTAAAAAAATATATAAATTTTATGAATTTAATTTTTTTAAAGAAAACACATAAATATTTTTCAACTTGTTAAAAAAACAAATATATAATAAGGACAATTTGGTCAAATATACATTATAATAATCTTTTATTCCTTTAATTAAACACAATAATCTTACATTCCTGCTAAACTAACCAAACACAAAATACAACATTCCAGTAATCATATTCTCTAGTAATCTTTTATTCTCATTGATAATCTTTTATTCTCATTGGTAATCTTACATTCCGTGAACCAAATGCACCCTAAGAATAAACTCTCAACTCAAGCTATCAAAAGTTTTTTAGATGTCGATCTTTATAGCACAACTAGGAGATAAAGTCTTTCTATTTTTTGTATTTATGGTTTGACGCTTTGAGTCACTTATCGTTCGTATCAAAAATGAGATATTGATATATATTTTTGAAAACAAACAAATAATTTATACAATAAAATTATTAATTACTTCTAATACAAATTTTAAAATAATAAGTTTTACTTTACTCATAAAAAGGATAATAAATATTTAAATATATTAAAAAATATAATAATTATTATATAAACTAAACTAAAACTCAATAAACAAATTTATTATTCTTTAATTAGCCAAACAAATTATGCAATAATATATATTTTTTCTCCTCTTCTCATATACAGCGACGGGTAGTTTCTTCATCCTTTTTGTGTCCCTTGAATCAATGAACAATTATATGCCAATAATTTAATTACGTTATTACATGGTTAATTTAGTAAGAAAAAATGTTATTATATGGTTAAATTCATAGGTTGAGTTGGCATGAATATAATTTGAAAGATTTATGTGCGCTTTTTTTAGTATAACCACTGGTATTCGATCTATTGATCGATTAATCTGAATTGAGTACTGTAGATGCAAAGTCCACCCTCCAAATCCGAAAAAATAACTTTATTTATGAACGATTTGAATTGACAATAAACAACTTTATTTTCGCCGGCAAGTGATCCGGAAATATATTATTTATGAACATTTTCCTTCACGAGAAAACAACTATATTTTTTTATTTCGGACAATATGTTCTCCACCCGAAGAAGCAATATTAAGTTATATTTAAGAAAACAATTGAGTTATATTAAGTACATAACGTGGGGATTGCATAATTCGAACAATAATGCATCAATTCAATTAAATTTATGGATTTTATAAACCAACTTTGAGAAGAAAGAATCCATCGAGAAACTGTTGGCGGTTTGATCACAAAGAAATGAAGAAATAATATTTGAATTCATTCATGTGGCTTAAATCGTTTAGAGCAAAAGATGAGTTAATCCTCTTGGTGATTACGAAAGCTCAACATGTTGTCAAGTATATATATATAAAATAATGATGGCAACACAAAATGGTTTGTACATAATTTCGTGTACGAAAAGGAACTCTACTGATTTATGAAATAAATAAGTTGAGCTAAAAGCTAAAAATGTACGGGCATTTCATCACAGAAGAAAATAGGCAAAAAAGCACCCAAGGTCCCTAAACTTTTCAAAAATAACTGTAACCCCCTAGACCCGGCCTATGCGTTTCGACTAAGTCTAGTGGATCACATTATAATTATTAAAGACATTTTTCGCAACCGTTATTCCATCAATATAAAATCACATTATAAATAACATGAAATTATAAACAATTTATACTATCAAAATCCAACTCGTAAATATAGTACAAATAAATAATAATTTAATTTAAAACATGTCTTCAAATTCAAAATCACAATAAACCGAGCAGTAGTAGCAAAAGTGTTATCATTATAAAATTCAATATTTTAAAATAAGGTCCATGTCACCAAAATAAAGGGGGAAAACATCTTCAAAAGGTGAGCTAGGCTCAGTGTGTCCCAACATTTCCATAAAATCACAATAGGTACAAATCATAGTCCAGTAATCTCACAAATTCGTAAAAGAGTTTAACTTTTTGAAAATC